TCGCTTTGAACTCGCTTCTTTTTATCTTAAACTAAACGATTACTAACCCTGACTATTACAAATTACAATATCGTTACACAATCTACATCAATATAATAGTATTAATAATAACAAACAAATGGTTTGGGATTATTACATCCCTCCCTCAACGAGATGCAAATGTATACAAAGGTTCCTTTGCTTTATAAATTTTATAAACTATTCTAAAAAATGTATATAATATAAAAAAACACATTTTTTTTCCTCTCTCTCTAAACGCATTTTGGCATGTGTTGACGAATTGGCATCTGGACAAGTAGGAATTGGCCTGCTAATATTGTCCGTAGTCCCTGCGCCACGCTGTTCGCATACCGACGCCGTGGAATAACCGTGATCAAAGTCATCCGTCCATTGACATCCCATAGACACTGCTATTTTAGATCACTGCAATCCAACACGTAGAACGCCTACAGGGCCAAGACATAATTGATTATCGGCTGCACTTGGCGGTGTTCAGCGCGTTGTCGTTCGTCGATTTGTTCCCTCAACTGATTTACTGATTTCCGGAAAATTCGAATTGATTTGTATATTTGTGACCGGCTTTGCATCTACTACCGGAATATTACATTTTCATTGGTAAGTAAATTTCCTCTTTTTTTCGGTCACACGCGATTACAAGTGGCTCTTCGGTCGTTGCACATGACCATTGGTTTTTCAATTGTAATTTGTCGAACAAGGTTGTTTCCAATTGCAAGTACATCGTCTCACAATTTTCCGGTAAGATTTTTGAACTCTGAAACGACTGAACAACTTTTACGTGGGCGGATCGACTCGGTTTGTGGACATAACACGAATGTTTTTGATTTATTACATATTAAAATACCAACATCATTAAAAATACTACAATAATATTCACGGGTTTTACTAATTGCTACACGATTTGCAATTAGGATGTATATGAACAAAAAAATCAGTAATAGCTTTTATAATGTTAGTTCTTGTTCATACGTTAATGGCAATTGAACAAAAAAAAAAAAAACAATTCCACCATCAGCGCGATATATCGTGATATCATTAATAATTCATACAGGCATTTGTCGGGGCATGGTTTATGATAATTGGATAATCCGTTTAGTCCTTAAAGTTTAAAGCTAACGTTAAAGTTAAAAAAGTAAAATTGAATTTTAAAATTGTAGTAATAATTTGAGTTGCAATAAAAAACCCAATAGGAAAATTGGTAATCAAATAAAAGGTCAGTTTATATCTTGAAATATTTTGTTGTGTTAACATTTTTTAGAATAGTTTATAAAATGTATAAAGAAAAGAATCTTTGTATACATTTTTATCTTGCAGAGAGAGGGATGTAATAATCCCAAACTATTTGTCTGTTATTATTAATACTACTATTATCATGTAGATTGTGTAGTGATATTATAATTTAGTAATAGTCAGGGTTTGTAATCGTTTAGTTTAATATAAAAGGAAGCAAGTTCAAAGGAAGCTTTGTCTGGTCAAATATTGAAGAAAATCTGCAACCTATTATTTTAAAGGCACTTATGGCTGTCTTGACAGGAAAAGCACATGATGCTATACGTTTTATCGAATGTGACAAATATTGGAGTCAATTAAAAATATTTTCGGTAATATAAATTCTATTCCCAGTCTACAAATGCAATTAAGTTATCTTCAATAAATGCCAAAAGAAGACGAATTTGTTTTTAGGAATCGTATATTAAATATTCAAAATAAAATTAACTGGGACATTAAATATGGGTAAAAAGTATACAGAAAGCAAAATTATTGCAGAAACTGTAGCTAAACAAGCACTTGCTATTTTAATAAATCGGCTTCATGATTCACTAGGCGTAATACTAAGGGCAAGAAACATTACAGCATTTGAGGAGGGAATTTCTCTGGCTTCTGAACAACTTTAGGGTATGCCTTTTTAAAATTAGACTTCAATGGAGGGGGGGGGGTTATGTGTGAAAGACAAGTTTGATGTAGCAGAACCGTGGTTCCCAATACTAAGTGGGGGACTATTAGGACGATTTGTCTTGAACAGAAGATAAAGCAATCATCGATGGAAATAATGAAGTACTAATATTTCCGGAAGAAAACCAATTAAATAAATCAATAATTATACCGGCAAGAAGTAATTGTCTAGTAAATATTAAAGTAAATAAATCGTTTAGGGAAAATGACCAACAGGAATGCGGGTTAATTTAAAAACAGGAATTAACAGAGGATGTTATCATAGGTAATTGTATTAGTAAAATAAATGGAGACAAAATAATTAGGAATATATAATTAACATTCATCTTAAAGGGGCGAAAGAAGGTCCGAATTCACATAAACAATGTCAAACAATTTTTTTGAATACAATTTTGTAAATGAAACGTTAACTTTTCTTTATAAAATTTTTTTAAATTATAATATTAGCAGTAGAATAACAGTATTATTGATTATTGTTTCAGGTCAAAACTACAATTGATAATAGCAGATTTTGAGTTTACCAATGTCAACGGAAAAGATATTTTATTAGTATCTGGAGCTTTATCAAATAGCCTAGACAAATTCAAAGTGGTCAAATTAGTAGGAAGACCGTTAATATTGGCAAAGGAGAAAAACTAAGGGTATTTTAAAGGGCAAACCTACCAAAAGTAAAGGGTAGTATAAGAAGAATTTTTCGGAATGAACCGGAAAAACGGATACCACTTTTAAACGAACTAAGAGAAAGTGTTTACAATAAGGGAATCAACACCTTATCGACGGTGTTTATCCAAGGATATTTGCATAAGGACAATAGATCACCTATATTGGTTTTCTGGAATGGTAATAAAGATCAAAATATAATGGAAAGGCTAAGATTGCCCAATATAAAACTTATGCTTAACCGCGTACGACGAGGAGAACAACGGGATATTCTACTTAAAACTAGCCAATCTATCTAAGGAAAACAAAGTGGTATTAATCAGTATACCAATGAGAAAATATGAGAACAACGGAAGATTGTTAAAAAATACCAAGTCACGGAAATCATACGAATCATGTTTAAAATTAAATAAATAATAGACCTTACTTTTGTTACAGGCTGCTAATAACAGTGTCAATCAGCATCAAACTGAGCCATTGCAAACAATTTAACGACATACAAATCAACGAGAATGTATTTTGAAAACCAAGGACAAATTAAAATCAACACGGCGGAATGGACAATAGCTACCTTGACCTAAACCATTTCGTATCAAAACAAATATTGTTAAATGAACATTTAAATCAATCTCGGGAACTTTGTATAAGTAGCTCAGACGCAGAACCGATTTCAACATCAAACTCAAACATAACTTTAAAAACTGGTAATCAGACTTCTTGTTGGGAATTATGGGAAAACTGGTATGAATTAGGCCAACAAATAACTTCATTCGCGGGAGAGGTGATATCAACAGACTTTGTGAGGGAGAAAACGGATTTGTCTTCTTCCGTTTTAGAAAACGTAATATTTGTAAAATTAAATAATAATATAGCTTTAAAGTATAATAAATTAATTGATTAAATTGATAAACTTGAGTGAATCAAAATGAAAATGGAAAAAGAACAAATCAAAATAATTAAAAACAAAATTAAATATATCCAAATTTTAGCTTATATTCTAATAATACCGAAATGATGTTATTAATTGATAATTTAAAAAAAACAATTTTGAAATAAAAATGATTCACCGGTAAGCAATAAATTCTTTTGGGCAAAGATTTACGAAGAACAATTGTTTTTACATTTAGATAATATGTCACAACAAAATATTTTAGAATTATTTACCTTATCAGATACGATTAATTATGCAAAGATAGGATTAATTCAGCTATTGTCACCTAAAGAACTATTAGAACGGATTTACCAATTGAATTAGGTTTAACAAACAAATAGTTTGAGATTATTAAAATAGGTAGAATAACTTATAATATTATCTTCGTTGCTGAAAATGCCCACTTTTGTGAAAAATATAAAACGGTTAACAAAACCATAACAAAAAGGGTGGTGAATTTAATATTTTTTTTTTTTGACCATTTATTGAAAATAATAATTCATTATCTGTAAATGAAAAGTAGTTTAATTGAAGAATGCGAGATGTGGGTATCACAATAAGTTTTATTTCTATGTATTTAGAAATGTATTAATGATTAGTAAATATAAGTTCTCAAACATTGTGAAATCCATTATTGTTTAACAGGTTTTTTATTGATTATTTTTTAACTGTCTCATTATTGTTCATACATATGTATTTCGGGGCTAGTAGAATAATATGTGTTAAATAATCTTTTATTTCTTAAATAACATATTTTACTTGTAACACTGTGGTGTTTTTTTTTTTTAAATATACCTTACTACTTATAATTTTATTGGTTTATTAATTTTGGGTAATTATTATCAAAACCGTATATTATAACCGGTGTTTTTGTAAATGTTTCCCAATTTACAATATGAAGCATATTCAGACAATTTTTTCGAGGTTCCAAAAAAAGATTTGAATTAAAAACCTATTCATATTGAAATGGTTTTTGCGTTTTCTGCTGTTGTTTTTTGTAATTGTTCTTTGTTGTACAAATGTTACAAATACGAAAATATTTCACTAAAACAATTGATTTTTTATTCCATATAATTGTCGATATACTACTTTATGTTTTTATAACTTGATGCATTATGTTTTCATGGTGACACAAAAAGTAAATAAATTAATTCCACTATATTTTAAGATAAAAGTTAAATTAATTAATTCGTCAATTGTCAGCACTTATTATCTAAATAAATAAATTTACAAAATATTTTTTTTCTCTTGAATTACTAGCATAGTGAGGTCAAAGCATACATATTAGGGCGGGGTAGATTACACGTTTTCCAAAAATATTATAACTGAATGTTAAATCACTAACAAATAAACTTCAAGTAACACCATGTTTTTTAAAATTGTATACCTATTTTACACTACATTTACATATTAATTAAGCAAGCTTATAAATTGTATAAAGCGTCATCAGTTTAATTAGATTGGTTCTAAGGTTTTAGACACATAATGATCTTAAATTTGATCCTTTACAAAGTAATAGCAAACGATTAGATTGATAGAAATTCAAAAGTAAAAAAAAAGTTTTTTAGGGGAGGTGTACAGACGCTGTCTTTTATTTATTAAAGGTTTTGTTGATTACTTTATAGCTGTACCATTAATTTTCAAAATTTTCAGGCTTATAGAATAAAATGTATTAAATACTTTCTTATTGAACAAATAACTATTTTATTTGTAACTTTTTGGTTTTAACTTTTTTACTATGTACCTTACAACTTATAATTTTATTGGTTCATTAGTTTTAGGTGTTGTACTATTTGGGTGTTTATTAGCAAGACCGTATATTACAACTGGTGTTTTTGTAAATTTTTCCCAATTTGCAATATGAAGTATAAAAAGATATTTTTTCGATGCTGAGATTTGAATTGAAACCCGATTCCTATAGAAATGGTTTTTATGTTGCCCTTGAAAATTATTTTTCACCTACTTTTAGTATTCAAGACTAAACAATTCCACTATTTTTCAAAATAAATATGCTTAAGTTAAAATTAATTCAATATAAAATATTAGGTATATTAAATATACATATACATATACATATATAAATATATATATATATATATACATATGAGATCAGTCTTTTGCACTAAATTAGCAAAATAAATGTATAAAAATATATATATATATTATTTTATTTAAAATACTAGCATAATGAGGTTGGAGCGTATTAGGGTGGGGAGAGATCACACGTTTTCCAAAAATATTATAACTGAATGTAAAGTCACTATCAAATGAACTTCAAGTAACATCATGTTTTTTTTTACTCTTATATTTTATACATACAATACACTACAATTACATCTAACCAAGCAAACTTATAAGTTTTTATTTTTCAACTATAAAATTTTTATAAAGATTATTTAAATTGTTTTTCTAGTATTTAATACACAACGACATGCGTTTTTGGCCAGATCCGACAATTGTCTTAAACCTCAATATCACCAAACCACTATTTCCCATTTATTAACATTTGTTCTTAAATTTAAACCTTTGCAAATTTATAGCAAACGATCAAATATAATGAAAATTTAAAAGCAAAGTTTATTTTTATTTTTTAACTCTGATGCGGAGTTGTGAGGCTATTGGTTTTAGTTTGATGTGAGCTCTTTTGTAGTGTCTACACACTGTTATCTTTTTAATACTGAACCAATTTCTTCGAGTAGCAACTCTATAAATCACAAATTTTATCGAATTAACTGTAAGTACCTTTGAGAATTAGTAAAAAAGTTTAAAAACGTCTTTCTTGCTCACCCAATATTGGGAAAACCAACAAAAAACTATAAGAGTTTTCAATTTTTAACTGTGATTTTAATACGTTCAGTTACGATAATTCCTGCTTCATGCTTGACCGAACAGGATATAATTATTTAGGGATATGTTTTATATATTAATACTGCTACATGCTCAAGTAGATAACTGATATTTTGTCCACCCATTTAGAATGCATAATGTAGCCCAGATATTCATAGTCTCGATATTTGACGGCATGGGAGTTTATTAAATAAATAAAGTGCTGACGCAACTTTTGACATATTTTCTGTAAAAAAAAAAAAAAACGATAAAACACAGCTTTGGTTTAAAGACATCGATATGTTTGTATAGTTTATACACAACAACAAGTAGAACTACTTGTTCAAACATTTTGTGTTATGAAAAAAATACACATTTAATGTATACAACTTAAGTACACATAGGAGGGGCTTCAGATCCCATTGCCCATTGTTTATGCCTACTGGTAAGTAATACATACTGGTATTCGTATCATTTTAGTTTTTTTTTCAATTCTATAGAAAACGGGTATTTTTCTGCAAATGCCTTTGTTGTCAAAGCGTTTACTTTAATAAAAAACAAAACAGGCATCCAGAAACGTTGAAAATCTTTAAAAGTTTAACGTAACCAGAAAAATACAATGTTTTTAAAGTTCTTTTCTTTGTTGGTTTTTATTATCGTAGCTGCTAGCTGTAATTCAACGAAACAATATGAAACTACAGATTCAGCTGCACCTGCACAGATATCAGCTGAAGCCGAGGTAATTTATACAATTTTTTTTTAAAACTATTAGGTTTATATTGTGCTGAATCGTTTATAATATAAAAGTTAAAGTTTTCCTATAAATCCATCTATGAAACAATTATTTTTTTTTTTTTGCTTAAAGGTTACAGTTAAAACCTTGGTCATAAATATACACAAAACAAAAATACTTTTTTAATATTGTTATGTTAGATTAAAATCAGTACAGTAACCTAATCGTTTGAGTTGAATTCATTCAATATAATAAATGTTTCATTTAACATTTTTGTTTAGCCCAAAATATTCGGGCAGGACCAACTCGAGAAATCTGATGCTGAACTGGAACATGAAAAAAAGGTAATTTATACTATTATTTTCACTCTTTGATTTAATAATTAACCCTGCATCAGTCGCTCGTTCTATTACTGTGGTACACCGATAATAAATTTTATTTTAAATGGTTTTAGATTTTCTTCGTCCCAATGGTAATTATATTACCTTTAAATGACATTGTATAGTTGATATCTGTTATGATTTTGGACTTTATTTGTTAGTGTAATTCTGTATATTGAGCTATGCTGTATAATACATTGTATAAAAACAATATGTAAACATTTTTTATTTTTTTATTAAACCCAATGATATATTGTGTGGTTCACGATAAGTGGATCACCCTGTATACGTCTATATACATTTAAATATATATTTTAATAATATTGTTTTATTTATTCTCCGTTAAATTGTTACGGTTCCTTTTTGTAAGTATTAAATTAATTAATATTGTACATACATGATACAAAATATACAATAATTATGTGAATTGAACAATGTGGTCAAATCGTTAATTTATGTTGCAATAATACATTTTAATTAGCAAAATTGTAATTGTTCTACACGTGTAGACGAGCGACTACTCGTGTGGTATTAAACCACGTGACTGATGCAGGGTTAATTATTGTTATCCATAATTTTGAATGTAATAAATGTCGTATTCCAAATAAAATTAAAATAAAAAAATTAAGCATAAAAAGTATTTGTTAATTATACCGTATATGTCTATGCGTATTATGATTTTATATTCGGATTTTTTTATGAAATTAACATTTGTATCGATAAAAAATGTTCAGATTATAGAAGATTCGTATAACGATTGTTTAAATTGGGCGAGCCAGGGTCTAGCAGAAATTCGTGACTATATTACCTTGAAAATACTATTCCTATACATGGGTGGTCTAGTAGAAGATCTTGTGGATATCGAAGAACGTGTCGAGAGTTATACAAAAGCAGCGGAAATGAAAGGTAAACATTAACAATATTATATATAATATACATATAGTTACTTAATATTTTATTTTACCTTGATGTGAAACTGTAAAGAAGTTAGTTTTAAGGAAGTATTCTTATTCGCCTCTATATAAAATGAAATATTCACCTTGTGGTTTTTACTTACACACATTATTAATCTTATAATTTTATCAAATATTTTATGCACCTTTAAAGTTTTTAACAGATAATGTCTGGAAGATTTAAAAAATGTCAAACAAAATATCTTATAATACATATAAGGTGCCCACTGCACTTCAGTATGCCCATGTAATAACTATTAACATTTTATAACTGTTTAAATTCAAATTTGTATGTTTTGTTTTTGTTTAGACGAAATACGTTTTGAACAGTTTAGTGTATTTTTAAAATACTATTGCAAACAAGAATACTCAATTATGACATTACAAGAATGTGCTGAAGAGAAGAAAGAAGAAGCGGCAAAAAGGTCACTTAAAGAATTGACAACTTGACTTTTAAAAAATGTTGCATATTTTGAAATTATTGAAATAGTTAAGACTTTTATGAAAAATGTTTAAATTAAAAAAATGTCATAAGTCAATCGTATGAGAACATAATACAAATTTATCCAAAATATAAAATCATTGAACATTGTTTACTTTTAAGCATAAAGTCTGATAAAGTTAATGAGAACAGTACAAGTGGCTTGGGTGTTATTATAATTGCACAAGTTTAAATAATAATAATTTATCATACGGTTTGTCCAATAAAATGGTTGGGAAAAAAAAAGCACCAAATATCGCCTACAACGGGACAACTTTATACAACTTTTAAAGCAAAAAAAAAATGTTAGCTCGTGTAATCATTATGCGAAAGTAGTGTAAATTAGATATCTAACGAAAGAGACAAAAAATTAGTATGATGGTAATTTAAGTAAAATAACAATACAAAAGTAACAGATAAAACAATATTAAGATGATTAATTATTATATTATATAATGGAGTTGTGGGTTATGACTATAAATCTCACACAATGAGATAAAAGCTATTATAGTTTTAATAAATACAATTAGTTTGACACAATGCAATAATTACATAATAAAACATGTATAACTTATTTTTTTTTTTTTCCTATCTGGAAAAATTTTAACGAGTAGTACGATTATTTTCTAACTTGTACAAGTTAAAATGTTAATCGTGTGAACAAAAAAATAAAACAGCTAAGAGAAATAAAAATGGTGACGTTTTGAGCATAAATGAGTATAAATTAATTTAACACTTTAAATGCCAAAGTAAATAACTGAACTGGGATCCCCGGCACTATCAATGGCAGTTAAGGTGTTAAAAAAAAACAATTCTTAAAAATATTCATTAGAATAAAATTCGTTTCATATTTTGTCAACTAAAACTAAAGAACCATTGAATCGTCGTGAAAGCTAAGTTTACAATCATAAGGTATAACTACAAAATCAATCTAAGTATGACCACCATACGCATTTCCTTCAACGGTTGGCTTTATACGACTTTTATAGAAAAGAACTGAATAGAAAATGGTTATTGTGTAATTAAAATGTGAAAGTAGTGTAGAACAGCTGGTAAAAAATAAAAAACACAACATTATTATCTTTGAATTTGTTACTGCGACACGTATTAAAATGAATTACATTAAAAAACAAAAGTTGAGCTTTGAGAGTTGTGAGTGTATACAGGTTAAATAATTAAAATAAGTTAATTAAGAATGATTATAACAGGATCTTTTTATATTGTGTTTATAATAGTGAACCAGGGAAGTGATAATTTAATGATAAAGTTTAGTGTGATATTATACAAAATAATTTGAAATTGTATAATAATGCGGTATTACAAACAATATTAACTAAACAGATATTTAAATGTTGCATGTTTTTCTCAAAAAGTTGGAATTTTCGTACGAAGAAAAAGTTATTGTTTTTTCTTAACAAATTTAATTGGTTTGACCTATCATAAGTAATAATAACAATTATTGTTGGTAGTTATTATTTGTGTACGCGAAATAGTAATATAATAGTGTGAAATAGTATCAAGTATTAAAATATAATTTAGAAATTATCAATACAGAATAGTAGTGGGATCAAAAAACACAACGACATTGTCTTTTATTTTTTTTTTTTGCTTTCTTGTTAAAACTTTTCTTCAATACGCAATTTTTTTCCACACTGGTAAAATGCGGTATAATTTTGTGTATTCCCAAAGGCTTTAAATTTTCATAGGTGCACATAGCTGTTATTGAAATATAAAAAATATGTGAATAAAATATGATTGTGTAACGCATAGACGTTGTCTGAATATTGTATATGGGGTTTTATTAGAAATCGGATATATTTTCTATTAAGAATGACTAAAAGTCAAATAAAAAAAAAAAAAAAATTAAACCATCTATGTGTACAAGGTAAAAGAAAAAAGTACAAGTAAAAAATGTAACAGATATGTACAGGGTGATTTTTTAATAATTGGCCACTCAATATTTCACCGAGATTAATTACTAATAACTGAATTGTTTTTTAATAGTGTTTTCATGACGTATATTGTGACAAAATCTTTCCTATAATGTTTATGTTCCTACCCCCTTCCAAACTGAACAACATTTTTATTTCAAATTTTGACACTTAACTTGATGCGTTGCCATACACATCAAGTATACACTGTATATCCACTTAGACTGTTAATTACTAGTATTGGATGATTATTAATAAAATTTGCATTCATAAAAACTAATTTGAAGGGAGGGAGGGTACATATTGAGAACATTTTAATTTGTGGACAATTGAGATCACATTATACAATATAAAAACACTATGAAAAAAAATTATTGTATTTATGATTTAAACAAGGTGAGATTTAGAGTTGCCCACGATAAAAAAGATCACCCTGTATACGTTATTTATTTTATAATACAAACCACAAGTGTCGCCCTAGTTTTTTTCATGAAATATTATAGTGCTTTGCAAAATATATTTTCATTTTACTTTTTTGATGGATATATGGAATACACCGACCTTACGACCAGTCGAATAAAATATTACAGTATACCTATTATCTTTCTTATAAGTTATATTTTTTGAATTGTTTCAATTATATTGTCCAGCACTATGAAGCTTTTCTGCATTTTAATAACGATTACATTTGTGAACGTTTCACCGATAATGACAGGTAATTGTTTAATTTTTACACGTACCTTTTCAAGGGAGTTAAAAATCTGAATAGAAAATTTAATATTTAATTCTTCATCGTAGCGGAATATGCAAATTCGGTTTGCATTACAAGTCAGTACCAAATTTTCATACGATATAAAATTGTTTTTAATTTTATCATTTCTGTACATAAGTTTGAAATAATTTATTACAGCTAACCACATGTATGCGGCTTTTGGTAGAAGTAAGATAATTTTTGATTTTCAGATGATTTATACATTTTTAACAAGCTATAGATTGTTTTTATATCAGTTTAGAATATAAGTGAAGGGGGTACTAGTATACCAAATTATTCTATATTATCACTACATTGTAATAGAAAATCGAATACACTATATATTTTTTATTCAAAAAATCTATTCCTATAATTAAACGGAGCTTCGTATACGAAATATTTAAGGAAAAAAGGATTTTTAATCAATTTCGATCATGTAAATTTATTTACCAGTCACTTTGTACAAGCTTTAAGGTATAATTTTTAATTAAAATAATGCTTGCTAACAGAATTTCAAAAAATCTAACAAAATTTCATCAACATAGGATTAACTTATAAGGATCATAATTTATTGTATTTTATGAACAAGATAATATTATTATATCTTGTCTGTCCTGAGTTTACAACAAAAACAATAATTCTTATCACTATCTACCTTTTTTAAGGCCTTAAAAATAGAAAAAATAATTTTAATGACCTTGATGACAATTTTTAGAAAGGTATAGACTATCTAAAAATGTGTTAAAAAATGTTGTATGAATTATTTATAAGAATCGAAACGTTGAAATAAAGTTAAAAAAAAATGTCAAATAATAACAAATTGACAAATAACAATACTAATGTTATGGAGAAACTTAATTTATTTGGTCAGATGCTAAATTTAAACGAATTGTTAACTAACATTGTGTTAAGAGTGTATTTAACAATAATTGGTGAATGATTTCATTTGAAATTTTATACATAGCTAAAACCACTTTTTGCTTATAGATCCTGTTGGAATGGAAACTGCAATTTCAAATATTATTAACGGAGACAAACCGTTCGGTAATCATTATTATGCAATAAAAAAAAAAAAATTATATATAGATTGCTACTCGAAAAAAATGTTAAAATTGTAGTGTTTTAAAAATATCGAACATCATTCATTCATCAATTTCTATTATTTCTATTTCAGAGACACTTAATTTGATGTTGGCTATGCCAGGTAATAATATTTCTTATCTCTTATTGGAAGTATTTTCACACAGTTTTTGATAACAGGTAATAACTAATTTGGGCATAACATATTTTCGTTTTAATTTCAGATAAAGCAAATTTTAGATTCACAATTCAGCACGGTAACCAATTGTTATATACTACTAATACTTTACACAGATTCTTATATAACAATATAATTAATTTTTTTTCCAATGGCTTAAACTTTCAATCGATAGTAGTCTTTCCGAAAAAAAACTCCTTAGATTTTAAACGTCTACTTCAAATCTAAGTAGTACATCTCGTTTTTTCGTTTATTTTCATAGAAAAGATTAATTTTTCACTGAAAAAATTCTAGTTTAAAAAATATGTTCTTTCTTTCATTTTTTTGACAACTTTCACGTCGTCTATGAAAAACTGGTCTCAAGATTTACTAAAAAAAAAAAAAATTTCAATTAAAATCTAACAAATAAATGGATAGGTGTATACTTGATTTTTTATTAATTACGAAAAATATTAAACCCTAGCGTTTCGTTAGCGAACAGCCATTTTTCAGGTCATTCATGTCATGTGAGTACATGTTATGTCATCTAATTTACTATTTGAAAATAATTAGTATGTACATAGTTAATTATCCACATAGCTTCATAACATATTTTTGTTTAAATTTCAGATAATTCATTTATTATCAACTTACCAGGTACCTATTTGTATATATTTTATACTCCTAACATTTGTTAAGAATTTATTTTATTGCTTATTATATTTGACAACTAGTTAGTGAAAATTGGGTTTCATTGAGATTTGTTAGCCTTAACAACAACGATTGTTAAATTAATCACCCAATATCGGCTTGTTAAAAAGTTAATCGGCATGTTAAAATATATTGTAGTACTTATATATAATACTTATATTATTATTGTTCAGAAATTGTTTTATAAGTTTTTTTGACCTAGTATACTGGTAATATATAATAATAAATTACACATTTGATGAGGAACTTCTTTATATTGAGTATTTAGAGAACAATTGAAAAGACAACTAGGTAGATTAGGTAAACAAGAATGGCAGAAACTTGCATGCATTATAGGTTCAAATATCATAATTTATTGTATTTTGTAATTTAGATAATGTTATTATGTCTTGTCTGTCCTGAGTAGAATAATGAAAATAATTCCTATCTCTTAGGTAGTTTTTTTTAGGTCTTCGAAATAGAAAAAAATATTTTTAATCACCTTGATGACAAACTATTTTCAGAAAGGTATAGACGGAAAGGTTCAGACTATCTAAACAATGGGTTAAAAAATTATATATATAAATTATTTAGGTAAAAACGAAACGTTAAATGAAAGTAAAATAAAATGCCAAATAATGACAAACTTACAAATTAAATAATACAATCGCTTATCAGTTATCACATAACTTAATAACCAATGAGAACGTTGGAATCGAGGTAACCGCTTTGGTAACCCAACTAACGTTTTGTTAACTTAACAAATAAAATTTAACAACAATAATGTTAAGGTGAAACTTATTTCATTTAACCAGATGTTAAATTTAAAGAAACTGTTAGCTATCTTTGTGTTAAGAGTGTATTTAACAATAGTTGGTGAAACCGGCTGATAATCTATTATATTAAAATTCCTGTCATAAGAAAATGTATGTTATTTTTTTTGTATTTCAGAAAATATTGCCGTAGCTGATCAGAAGGCAGTGCAAGAAGCAATATTCCAAGTTACAAGTAAATAATATAAAGTCTAACACACATTAATGCGAATTATTAAAAAAAAATCATAATTATTAATTTTAATGATCATTTGAATTATAATTCAAACATTTGTGTGTGTTTTTTTGTGTAAAATATTAAAATTTTTCATATTTTTTGTACAGATATCCAAGCGCCTCAACTTGGCCGCAACGAAAGTAAGCAACCATTTAATAACTAACGAAAAATAGCCCTAAAATCCAATTTTATAAGCCTATTAACCTTTTTTTTTTAAATTTCATACGTTAACAACGAAACTGACTTTTGTCACAGCTTATTCGAATGATCGTAGCACATTGTCTCGGCTTGGAGAAAAGAGACGAAGAATAATTGGAAATATTACACAAAATGTACTTATCACTGCATTAGGTGAATATAAATATTTTGTGTAGATTTCTACTAGATTTACTTTTAATTATAATTATTCTAATCGATGTACCATTCAAATAATACATTTATAATTTATACACATCTCAACTAGTAATTTTTTTTTCCACATATTATATGTTTGTATAGTCTATGCTATAGTCATTTGCTTTCTAGTAAACCAGCATATGATACTGTCTATCCAAATATTCTAAATAATTACCAAAGGTTGTTATTATTGACGTCGTTTACAATTTCTGTATCAACATATAGTAACATAAATCATACGTTTAAGTTTTAACTATATTAAATACACTTATTAAACTATCATTTTGTAATAACATATTATATATTCAAATTTATACTATATGTGACATTTTTATATAACTATCATATCAATAATATATTATATTATTACATGAATAATATACAATACAAGTAGGCATAGAACTCACACAACATGAAGGAATGAGTTTTCTAGACTCTTATTTTAATATACAGCTCTTGATAGCATTATGATTAAACCATGTTTGTTTTGTTAATTTATAGTCATTTTAAACATTTTTGATCCGTTGCTTGTGCAATGTCCTTTTGTCAATAATTTTGCAAGATATATAAAATATTTAAGATTAGATAAGAATAGTACACATAAAATAAAATTGTATTATCCCAATCTGCTAGTTATGTTATAGAATAAAAAATATGAAATATGTCTTTTTTAACTTTGTCGAAGTTCCTCCAGGGGAGGCTTCTTTTTTCTGTCAATCTGCTCTTTGTAAATACTACATTTGTTATGCTTTTTGTTCTAAATTCTATAAGATTGTATGAATTACAATTAAATAAATTTCATTTCAGAATAGGTTACACAAAATAGGGTTTTTTTATGTGTAATGTAATTGTTTTTCAATGATTATATTTATACACGTGTATTAATTGGTTTTGAACAAAAAACAAAAGTAGTTGTAAGCTGAAATTGTCAAGTTTTTAAAAAACAATTTTTTTAATAATTTTTTAGATAAAGGAAGACCAGAATTCTCCAACCTTAAAGAAATATGTATTCTAATAGGTTTGGTCCGAAATATGCGATTCCCAGATACGTACATAAAAGCCGCTAGAGTTGAACAAGATGATCAAGATGATTTTGCTTGTATTTTAATTTCACAATATAGGAGATACCGATACAAACCTGATAACGGCTTTATTTTTCTGGTAAGACCAATGGGTAATGAACGTGTCGAAAACCTTATGGATGAGTTATTTAGATGGTTCTAGTAAAATAGACCCTCAATCGTAGTTAGCTTTTAAAAAAATAAATAGCATCTACTGTTTTATTTTTTTACTTTAATAATATTTATATGTCGCACTTGTATCCAAATTGTCATTTAATTTAATGTATTACATAATAAACAATTTCTTTTAGCGTTTTTTAAAACTTCGAACCGCTTGTGATTTTATTGAATTCTATCCGTTGCAGTGCATAAAATGAACTTAAAATAATAATACTACCTGCCCACAAAACAATATGATATTTACCTGAGAAATTATTGTATACTGCTTGTGCTAGTAATGTGCTAACAGTCACTATGGTGAAGACAGGCGCATACTTATCAATATAATCAAAGCCTTTATTATGATTTACCACTTAAATAATAAATCTATACATTTTACACATCTCGACATGTGATTTCTTATCCTTTCATGTTTTCGGTTTCATAAGTCCACACACTTTGTTTGGAGCTCCATTCTATTATGCAATATAATCCGTTATCAATTATTGTACCGATACAATTATTGGCATTAATATAATAATATGGTTTTAAGAAAAATTAAAAACATGTTGCACACATCTACAGGGTGATTCATTTTGTGTGTAAGGCACTAATTTTCTCAGAAGATATTAACATTTTCAACAATAATTTTTCCAAGATTTTTTGGCACACATTGTACTATATTTTTAAATATAATATTGAAAATCGTTATCACCAAACCTTTTATAAGTCAAAAAGGGCTTTTTGGTTTTTTTTTCATGGCAACATATGATTTTCGTTCCATAAGTTTGTAGACAACAAATATTGTAACGTTTGAATTTTGAATTTATTGGTACATATTTTGTTATGACTTTATACAGACATTAGTACGTGTTCGGAAAACGAAAGGTAGGCCATGTAGTATGACGGACTTAAGACTTAAGCTGGGTTTCAGTATCTATTATATTTTATGATTAATAGTTATCACAATCTAGTGCCTACTACACGGACTATATTAGTGACCAGTAATCATATATTTTATTGTTTGTACAAAAATCGCATAACATTTAAACATAACCTCATACAGGTAACAATTGTTGACAATTAGTGAAATAAGAAATTATAAACTTAATTAAAAAATGTAATTTAATTTCCTTCGTAGTAAATATCATATCATGAATAATGTACCTAGTTATGGCACAACTCATTATATTATAGACTTTTAAAATGTACACATAAATAAAAATACTACCTGTCCACAAAATAATATGATATTTACCTAAATAAATTACTGTATACTGCTAGTGCTAGTAATGTGCTAACAGTCACTATGCTGAAGACAGGCGCATACTTATCAATATAATCAAATCCTTTATTATGATTTTTTTAACTTACTTACCTAAATTTCGCACTTAAATAATACACATAAAAATACTTTAAATGGCCGATGTACCCAAATTATTGTGTTATTAAAAAATATGTTTGTATATAACATACTATGAAGTATTCTAAGTAAAACCAACTGAATATTTTACTTTAAAAATACCTTTTAAACTAAGCGATAATCTATAAAAAAAAAAAAAACTTTACATATTTTCATAATTTACACCTAGATTATATAAAAGAAAACAACGGTACCATGAGAAAAATATTTAAAATTTCTAATTAAATGAAAAGTAGTAAAATATATTTAATTTTAAGAAAGAAAATCATTTCCAGTTAAAAAAAAAAGATTCTATTTTTGTTTATGCACAACTTTTTAAAAAAAAAAATTGCCGTTCGTTCATAAAGTCACTTTTTATCGATTTCACATTATAATTTATTAATTACGAATAAATTGATTTTATTTTGTATCTCGTTGGATAATTTTTGGATTATAAATTTAAATAAAAAAATCCTTTCTTTTCCGAATTTATACATGTATATTGTTTATGTATGAATATATTATTGTTGATTGTTATTAATATTATTTCTTATAAAGGTTAGAAGGAGCTTTTTATTTTTTCTTCTCCTTTTATTTCGTTTTTTATGAGTAATGCAGTACTAAAGTCTGAAAATAAATAGTAAAAGAACATTTGCTGTGATTTTATTACAGTAACAAATTCTTCAAAAACCGTAAATAAATTTGTGCACCGTTTTAGTCGTTATGTATCACTAACCAAAATAGTAACGAACAAGAAGATGACTGAATATTTTACTTTAAAACGTGTATACCTTATAAACTAAGCGTTAACCTAATATCAAATAAACAAAATTATAATTCATGTCCACTGGTTTATACTATGATTGGTTTGGAGTTTACTGGCTTCAACTCTAATTTTAAGTAATTCCTGTAAACCTGTAACCTCCCTACCTCTACCATGATCTGTCACCAATATGCTCGGCCGATCCTACTGGGTCTAGAAAAAAAATTAATTTAAAATGTATTGATGAATATAGAAAAAAAACATTTATTTTACCACACTACCTAATCAACAGAGATTTTCCAAATATCGATAACGTTTGATTACATTCAGCTGATTGCAATAACCTAGACTCATACTCCTGCAATAATACAGTAAAGATTAATGTTACAATGTCAAATATCAAGGTACAGAAATATCCCATGATCTAAAATGGATAGAACACATCAATTCACCGACTACAAAAATAAGGAAACTCTCCTATTACTATAAAATAAATAAAAACCAAAGTATAACAGTATGCGAGGCGCTAGTAAAACCAACACTGACTTATGGCATAATTGCATGGAGTGCAGCAAATTAAAGTAATCTTAATCAATTTCAAATTACACAAAATTATATCCTAAAAATAATCTTAAATAAAACCCTTGGCTTTCGTGTAAATAACTTCTATGAGTAATTAAATATTTCCATTCGCATCTATTTAAAATAAAGTACCTATTTTTTTTTTTTTACCAACACTAATTATTAATCCTTTGATGTTATCAAATAGCGTATGCATCTTTAAAGTTTCTAACAGTTAATGTCCAGAATATTTTTAATAATTGACCAAACAAAATATCATATAATTCATATGAGGTGCCCACTGCACCACATTATGCCCATATAATAACATATTATTTTCATGTTTGAATTTAAAATTGTATGTTTTTTCTTGTTTAGACAAAATACATTTGGAACTGTATAGTGCGTTTTTCAAATACTATTGCGAAATAGAATACTCAAACATTACACAAATGTGCTGAAAAGAAACACCCAAGTTTATTATCAAAACCATATCATATTAAAACAGATGGTCTTGTACATTTTTCCCAATTCGCAATATGAAGTATAAACAGTTATTATCTCGATGCTTATATTATGTGTATAATGTATATTATGTATGGTTATACATATATTATAGGTTCGAATTGAATATTAACTATTCATATGGAAATGGATTTTGTGTTGTTTTCTGTATATTTTGTTATTGTTCTTCTTTGTACAAATGTTACGAATACGAACATATTTTACTAAAATATTTGACTTTTTGTTCGGTATAGGTCGTTTTTTACCATTTGTTTTTATGACTCAGTGAACATGATTATTTATTTTTTAAATAATACCTACCAATTCGCATCGGTCCCACGGAGCCGAAATAATAGTTATTAAAAACCTTACTTCAACCTTAAAATAACTCACATTTTGTCCTACTATAGAGTCTCCACAACAAAAGCGATAGTGAATTAAATTATTCACTTTTTGACAATTCTTTTTTAGAAAATAATAATTAATTATCCAACAAAAATACTGTGCACGAGGAAATAAATGTGAGACCGAGTGCAGCAAATTTATGTTATTTTTGCATTAGACGATCTTTTTAAGTCTAAAACCGTATCAAAATATGTCAAAGAAAAACTTTATGTAAGCTACGTAAGACCTGTACTGACTTATGCATGTGTAGTACAAGAAGTAATAAGTACAAAAGTATAAGAATGAAATGGGCAGTTATAGTATTAGACATACAACGACATGCATTTTTGGCATGATCCGACAATTGCCTTAAACCTCGTGAAACCTCTATTTTTCATTTATTTAAATTGGTTCTTAAATTTAAACTCTTACAAAGTTATAGCAAACGATCAGATTTATGTCAATCCAAAAACTAAAAATATTTCTTATTTTTTTAGCATTGATGCAGAGCTCAGAGGCTATTGGTTTCACTATGATGCCTACTATGGCTTCTTAGTCTTTAAAACCTTAAACCTTTTCAATACTGGACCAATTTCTTCAAATAAGGAACTTTATAGATCACAAAATTTTGTCTATTAAGAGTACCTTTGAAGAGTAGTAAAAGTTTAAAATTTTCACACTTATTTGCACACTTAAAATTGGGAAAAACAAAAAAAAAACCGATAAAAGTTTTCAACTGTGAAATTAATACGTTCAGTTACAATAATTCCTGTAGATCTGTACTCTCTCGGTTTCCACTTTGGTTTGACCACACTATGACTTGACCCCACTCTGCTGGCTTATTCGGATAATATCATTTTCAAGTAAACGCTTTGATGACATTCTATGGACTCTAAACTTCAATTTAATACTTTCTTACTGAAATGGCTTTTACTATACTTGGTTTGAACATCGTTTGCATCAAAGCGTTTATTTAAAAGTGATTTTATTACTTTTAGGTAATGTAATTCCTGTAAACTTATGTCCTAATCCCGTCCATACTCCGTCTCCACTATACGCTGACCCCCCCACTGTACTAGTATTTTGTCTAAAAAATTTATGGAATTAAAAAAAAAAATGCTCCAATCTAGAAAAAGAAAGGGCATACTCGTTTTTTGAAGGGTTAAACCGAATAAGGAATAATTATTTAGGAACATGTTTTAGGCAGGTTATCTCGATTATGAGGATAAAAAGTATACTGCTAGATGCTGAAGTAAATTTTATCGAATTAACTGTTAGGAATATGTTTTATATATTAATACTGCTACATGCTGAAGTAGATAACTGATATTTTGTCCACCCATTTAGAATGCATAATGTAGCCCAGATATTCATAGTCTCGATATTTGATGGCGTTGGAGATTATCAAATAGATAAAGTGCTAACGCAAATTGTGACTTATTTTCTGTACATTTTAAATAAAACGCTAAAACAAAGGTTTGGATTAAAGACGTCGATTGTTTGTATGGTTTATACACAACAACAAGTATTCTTGTTTATATTAAACTTGTGTAAACATATTTTTAAATGATAAAAAAAATACACATTTAATGCATACAACTTAAGTACATACGGGAGGGGTTTCAGATCCTTTCAGACACCTCTTGAATCTGCCTTTGTATGTATTCGTTTTCAATTCTATATAAAACAGGTATTTTTTTGCAAATGCCTTAGTTGTCAAAGCGTTAACTTTAAAAAAAAAACAGGCAGTCAGAGACGTAAAAATTTCTTAAAAGCTTAATTTCAGAAAAATACAATGTTTTTAAAGTTCTCTATATTGTTGCTTTTTACTATCGTAGCTGCTAAGTGTAATGAAATGCATCAATCTGAAGCTGCAGATTTAGCTGAACCTACACACATAACAGCTGAAACTGAGGTAATTTATACAACTATTTTAAAACTATTAGGTTTATATTATGCCGAATCGTTTATAATATAAAAGTTAAAGTATTCCTATACATCCAATCCTATTTATGAAAGAATTTTTTTTTTTCGCTTAAAGGCTTACAATTAAAACATTGGTCATAAATATTTACAACAAAAATATTTTTTCGATATTGTTTGTTAAAAATTTGTATTGATGTTGTTATTTTAGATAAAAATGAGAACCGTAACCTAATCGTTTGAGTTGAATTCATTCAATTTAATAAACGTTTCACTTAAATTTATTTTTTAGCCCAAAATATTCGGGCAGGACCAACCTGAGAAAACTGGTGCTGAACTGGAACACGAAAAAAAGGTAATTTATACTATTATTATCATTTTTTTTTATTTAATAATTAATTATTGTTATCTGTAATTCCGAATGTAATACATATTGTATGCCAAATAAAATTTAATAAAAAACAAGTCTATGCTTATTATAATTTTATACTCGGATTTTTTATGAAATTAACATTTGTATCGATAAAAAATGTTCAGATTATAGAAGATTCGTACAACGATTGTTTAAATTGGGCGAGCCAGAGTCTAAAAGAAATTAATGGCTATATTACTTTGAAAATATTATTCCTGTATATGGGTGGTCTAGTAGAAGATCTTGTGGACATCGATGTACATTTCGAGAGTTATGCAAAAGCAGCGGAAATGAAAGGTAAACATTAACAATATTATATATAATATACATATAATTACTTAATATTTTATTTTACCTTGATGTGAAACTGTAAAGAAGTTAGTTTTAAGACAGTATTTTCATTCACATCTGTATAAAATGAAATATTCACCTTGTGGTTTTTACTTACACAAATTATTAATCTTATAATTTTATCAAATATTTTATGCACCTTTAAAGTTTTTAAAAGTTAATGTCTGGAAGATTTAAAAAATGTCAAACAAAATATCTTGTAATACATATAAGGTGTAACTATTAACATTTTATAACTGTTTAAATTCAAATTTGTATGTTTTTTTTTTGTTTAGACGAAATACGTTTGGAACAATACGGTGTATTTTTAAAATACTATTGCAAAAAAGAATACTCAATCATGACATTACAAGAATGTGCTGAAGTGAAGAAAGAAGAAGCGGCAAAAAAGCCATTTAAAAAAATGACAACTTGACTTTTTAAAAATTTTTTATATTTTAAAATTATTGAAATAGTTAAAACTTTTATTAAAAATGTTTAAATTAAAAAAATGTTATAAGTCAATCGTATGAGAACATAATAAAATGTATGCAAAATATAAAACCATTGAACCTTTTATTTCCTTTTAAGCATAAAGTCTGATAAAGTTAATGAGAACAGTACAAGTGGCTTGGGTGTTATTATAATTGCACCAGTTTAAGTAATAATAATTTATCATACGGTTTATCCAATAAAATGGTCGGTTAAAAAAAAACACCAAACATGGCCTACAACGGGACAACTTTATACAACTTTTAGAGCAAAAAAAAAAAAATGTTAGCTCGTGTAATTATTATGCGAAAGTAGTGTAAATTAGATATATAATGAAAGGGACAAAAAAATAGCTATGATAGTGATTTAAGTAAAATATCAACACAACAGTAACAGGTAAAACAATATTAAGATGATTAATTAGTATACTAAAAAAGGGATTTAAAGGCTATTATAGTTTTAATAAATACAATTAGTTTGACATAATGTAATAATTATGTAATAAAAAATGTATGACTCGTTAACTAGAGGGCTAATTTTGGGTTTCCAATATTAACGTATAGGTTTTATTTTATACATTGAATTTTGTCGTATGAAATGTTTTAGTATATTATAATAAACAATAAAGTATGCCAACAACACACAGTCAATTATATTGTTTTTTTTGTTGTATCTTACTTACCTAAATAATTCACATAAAAATACTTGAAATGGCCTATGTACCCAGATTTTTTGTACTATAAAATATGTGTCAATGTATAAAAGACCTTGAAGTATTATAAGTAAAATCAACTGAATATTTTACTTTAAAAATACTTTTTGAACTAAGCGATATTCTATTATAAAAATAAAACTTGCTATATTTTCATAATTTACACCTAGATTATATAAAAATTAAAAGAAGAAAACGGTACCATGGGAAAACTATTGTAAATTTTACTAAAATATTACTTGAATTATTTTTCTAGTTTATACATGTTTACGTATAAATTTATTGTTAATTGTTATTACTATTATTTCTTTTAACTGTTAAAAGGAGTTTTTTGTTTTACTGAATTTGGTTTTTTATGAGTATTACAGTACTAAAGTCTGAAAATAACTAGTCAAAGAACATCTGCTGTGATTCTATTACAATAACAAAATATGCTATGCTTATTTTGAAAATATATCCTTTTTTCCCAATTCAATTCCACAATATCCGTGGCCTCTTTTTGTATAGTACGTTCAATTAAGAACATAATATATTCTAACGTTTGAGGTCTAAGGACAAACAGTGACAACCCAGACATATTTTGCAAAGCTGCTACTTTCACAACGTTATATTTCCTCTTTTGGCGGCACGTTTAATAATATGAAATAAAACAAATTATCATCGACAACGCCGTGCTGGACGAAACGAAATGGCGATCAGCCGATCCAGATAGGCTACTGAGTAGTGCAACTTGGTCGATTCACGTTTTATAATTGTTGTTATTCATTTGTTTATTTTATTTTTTACTTTTTAGAGAGTAGAAAAACAATTTGATTACAATAATTATAAGCGCAGAAGTAGCAAAAGTGTGCTTAGGTTTCGAATTCGGTTTAAAGGTCCAGAGCTTGAGTTCAATGCATCTGGTTCGTTGCTGACTTCAATGCCTTGGTTGGGATCTTATGTTCCTTGAGCCGGAGCCTCCAAACATACACAACGAAAATCCTACAGCGTTAAAATGAGTTATTAGAAATGAAAAAAAAAAAGTCCGTACAGCGGCGTCGGGACATAGTGGAGACAAAGCATAGTATTATAAAAAAAAAAAAAAAAAATGATAAAATAACTTAAAACCTAAAACTGGTACTTTTTTTGTTTGTTTTTCCACATCTCAAGGGCGAATGAGTATTTTTTTGGAAGGAATCGGCCCAGTATTAACAAAGTCATAGTGTATACGGACACAAAAAAAAAACTCAATTCTTAGTAAATGTATTTACCTTCTCTGCTCCGCATCTAAGCTAAAAACACTTTTGATAATAATTTTACTCACGTCGCCAAATGTATTGAAATTGCCGGTAATGCGGATGAACACTATGGGCATGGGCTGAAATTGCAACAACTGCCACGATCGGGTCAACTCATTGAATTTATCTACGACCACTGTCCAATCTTCATTATTGACAGAAGCTTCTATAGTGTAACTGTAGTATACGTCAACGTCGCCCCAAAGCAGCATCCTGTCAATTGTAGCAATAATATCTATAATTCTATCAATATTACAGTCTATATTTACAACGGAAATGAAGGTATTAAAGAAAATATCCACTGAATAATGTCAAGTGCTTTAAAACCATTACCGCATCGAGCTAAGCATATAAGGTTGTGCGAGTTGAACCACTATGCGACCTTTGCCCAATTCGTGAAATGTAAAACTGTGATACCGTTCGAGGTCTCCATTGACATAATGATCAAGCAGGGAATACCTCCGATTATGATTTTTACCTTCAAGTACAGTTGCGTTCATACACGTTGAAGCAACATCGTACGTAGGAGCTAAACAATTGAAATAAATCCACAAGGTTAATATGTATATTATGTTTTTATGTTACTCAAAAACATTTTGAATTTTGGGGGAGGGGAGGGGGGTAATCTTACCCACAAATCCGTTTCGAATGTTTACCAAGTGCCGTCCTTGTGTGTTGTACGAGACTTCGAAAAATTCGAATATCTTATTGAATATTTTCGAGCCAACTATTCGAATAAACGACATTAAGCGTGGATGAAACCATAAAAGTTGAACTGAACGACAAATATAGTCTGAATAATCTACGACACGCACCCAATCGCACTTATCCATTGAAACTTCAATGTAATAACTGTAATCCCTATGGAATTAAAGAAAAGGTAAAAAAGTTTGTATATATTTTATTTTCACCGATAAAATATTAATAAAATTATTAGGAATAAAAATAGCGAAATATTCGAATACAATTTTATTCAATAAATTCCATTTGCGGTTAGAAGCAATGATAAACATACCCTACATCATCACCGTACATCTTCATTTTAATATGGTTTATGTTTGATGGTTCACTCAACTGAAGCGTAGTACGGCCGTTAATGCCATAAGTAACCGAACGCCAATAATCTTGAGGAATAAGATTCTCATTGGGTTCTAAAAAAACAATGAAATAACTGTGACCAACATAATTTGTCGAATAATTTGCACAGCAGGCATAGTACTTAGGTGTCCTCTAAATTGAATCCTATCTGGTGGCCACGTGTTTCTTAATCGTACGGCTTCCGAAATTGTATCCGAACTAACCATTTGTGATTTGCCAACCTCGACAAGTTCATCGTCACTCATCAACGGATATCTGACGACAGATAACGCTTTGATTTTCACATCAGCATCCAGGTCAACGCGGTTCTCGATCCAGCGAATAACCGCGCGAAATATATCTATTTCGTTGGCTATAACCGAGTCACAATTGAAAATGTCTTCTATTGCTTGCTGAAAATAAAATTCGTTTCACAACTGGTCACATCCAATACACGAGCAATGTCGATTTTAGTCCTTACCGGCATCAAAGACAGGAAATCTGCAGATTTCAATACGTCCCTGGCGTTGGATCTAATAAATTCGATTGAAGCGGATTCGAACTCTTCGTGGTCATATAGCTGTGCCGCAGTAAGCAACGTGCATACTTGGTTTACATTAATTTTACTTCGCAAATACTCGGTCAGTGGAAAATCTAAGTTGGGAACACCGAAGAAAATCGTCATATCCATTAATCCCAAAACAACATCGTCCTTAAAAATAAAATATATAACACATTGGAACACTGTTAAGGTGCATCAAGGATAATACGTCACCTTTAGAACGCTTAAATCAATCTGACCGGTGTAAATATACTCGAGGATTATTTTGAAAAATGTTAATGATATATCACCAAGTTCCACTTCGGGCTTATCGGTTTCTTCAAAACCTCCAAAGAATAATTTGCTAGAAATTATACACGGTATCAGTGCAAACATATTAAATCAATGTCCCCGACAAAAACAGTAGTAACTCAACGGTACACGCGTTCTTAATAATATGTTAGAATACGTTTTAGTACCTACTATACCTCATTTTTTACAAAACCAATTTAAATAGTAAAACAAAAAAATCAGGAACCTAACCTTATAAAATGTTGGTATAAATAATATGTTTTAATTGTTATAATCTAAACATTGTGCGTACCCTCCCTTGTGCAGACCAAAAATGGAAAAAAGGGTGACGCTGACACTTGTGGGGGGGGGGGGCTGAAAAATAAATAATAATTAAAATAACAATAATAAAATTATTTAAATGCATCGCCAAAAAACCGGAACATTGATGATTCACGTGTGCCCTCCACTCCCCTGGCAAAAACTTAAATTATTATTCTTACATCTTTTAATTTTAACATTTTAACACTTTAAAAAAAAACCGTCACACATTTCAATAGTTCAGGCCTTTCCCTTCAAAATCGGCCAAAAAAATTGTATTTTTTTCGACTTAGGTTAAATATAATATAAGACAATAAGATTTAAAAATTAGACTATAGGTCGCCCCCTAGAATGGGCCTATAACATTTACAATTTTACTCCAAAATGGACTAATATTGAAGAAATCCACTTTGATAAATTGTTTTGGGATATCAACATGTCCGAACGACTTAAAACGTAAATTGACTATTATAATAATGTATTAGTATTCTACTGTACATAAATTATTTTTTTAATTTTTCTAGGTTCTATACTGAGTGCCTATTACCAAAAAATTGTTGATCCCCAGTTTTCTAAAAGATTAATTAAATCCGACATTAGAGATCCGGATTACATAAAAAAAATTATTAAAAAAAAAAAAAAATAGTAACAAGATCGAAAATAAAGTATTATATTGTTTTGTATTTAATTTTCTAATATTCTTAGGTACTAGACATTAATATTAACTTATTAAATTCTATAGCTTGCAATGACGCGCTTTTAATAAATATTAGTCGGACTCATAACATGTCTGAATAAATAAATATTAAAACATGTTATTATTATAATATTTAAAAAAATAGTAATTTTTAGAATTATTTAGGTATTTTATTACACGTGGGGATTACATATACATAGCAGCCAATCACATAGTTTCTCACGTAGAGTAAAGTACGTTTTTGCTCATATATTTAATAGTTATTACATTAATAAAAAATATAAATGTCAACAAGTAAGTGCCAATACGTTTATTCTGTTTTCTGAGAAAATTATTCATACGACACGACACAAAAGTAATAATGTTATCAAAATGATTCAAACTTAGATTGATATTGTATTTTCTATGCTGTCCATTGCTACATAAATGTCAATGAACAGTAGCTATTAAAAATAATTAATACTACTCGAAATTGTATCACTGTAAAAACCAATTAATATCAATTAATACTAACTAAATGTTCAATAACAAGAACTAAATACCTGAAATATGTACTGCGCGAAGCTAAAATAGCACGATGGGCGTGAAGTCGTTCTCCGTCGACAATTAAAACAACATCAGAATACCTAAAATAAAATATATTAAAGTAACAGCTATTATACAGATACCTACGAAGTAGGAAATAAAATGTGGAACAAATCTACTTTTTTAATCAATATTACTTTGCATGCTGATTACGAATATGTAAAAATAACTAACTCGTAAGAGCATGTACCTAATGTGCTAAAACATTTTAATTGAAATAAATAAAAAAATAATTAATTATTAAAATACTCATCGAAAATAATTTAAAGCTTTGAATCGCGTTAATGAAATGTCGAAACCGGTTTTTCCATTTCAATCAATATTATAAATAATCATAAATTGTTTATGATACCAGAAAAATAAACCAGTAATAAAAATAACAAAGTCAATAGGTGGTAACATCTACATACCTGTCATTTAGACGCAGAGTGCTAATGTCTTTGACCAAGAGGTGACCGTAATCGATTTGCTGTTTGGGTGTAGACGAAGATGACTCTAAAGTACAATAACATGCTAAAAAATATCAAAAAAAATAAACTGATTTTGCGGACAAGTAAGTATGATACGGTGTACTATCCAGCCAGCCGATTTTACATTTTTTTTTTTTTTAAAAAAGGGTCTTTAATTGATGTTTAGTGACTAACACTTAGTTTGCGTTAGTCTGTTCAAATAAATAACATGTTACCTATGTAAATGCAAGAAACAAATTTGAGAAAACTTAAATACATACATATTTCGGCTAAACCAAAAATTACACTTAAATTATGGAAAATCAACTGTAGTTTAGAACCACTTTAGTTGATCATAAACTATTTATTTTGCTGTAGTTATTGTTCTAGTTTTTGCTTCAGTGTAATACTAGCATTGTCTAAAAGATTTTCAAAAGTCATAAAGGTATTATATGTAAATCTTCAGTAATAATAACGCTTAGTGATTGCTGCGATCAATCGTTTCAAAGAAACAAAATTATAAACATATTTTTAAAACATATTATGTACCTGGACTTGTCCATAAACAAATAATGACTAAAAAATAAAATATCATCTTCGTGCTAAATTTTGTGTGAATATAATATCTCAGATGTTGAACACTATGAAGAAAACTATGCCATTAGAGGTTGAAAGCCAATTGGAATATGTAATTTTATCATAGTGGCGTACCATATTTGTCCATACAAAAGTTAATAACGAAAATCTGTGTACACAATTTGTACAGTTTTTTAAGTAGACGTATATACATGTTGTTGTTAACTTATTGTTTAATATTGCCCAGAAGGTCTGAAACCGATATCGGTGCTATAAATTATGCCCGTGTTCAATTTGTTTTGTATACCTACAGGTTTTTATACTATAACAATATTACTGGTCTAGAAGATATCGTGGGACCAGCAATAATGTACTTAAAATTTAATATTTAGTCTCGTGCAGGGTGGATACGATAAGGGTTGATTGTCTGTCTATAAAAATTTACTGTCATAGTTACCCGTGTATCGTAACTAACAATATAATGAAAATATTTTCATTACCAAACTGACTACGGCTAAAGTGTACACATTTACCCTATTTTTGGTGTTTTTCCTTAATAAAAAAAAAAAATTTGACTTCAGATTTTTGAGAAAATTGTATAATATGTTATAGTTCCGTTTTAGATCTTCGGTCTAATTTTCAGATCTAAATCTCTAAAAAGTGTAATAAAGAAAAAAATGTTATCCCTTCTAGGGAAAGGGTTTATGATATTTTTTTGGTTTGTTAAAGTTTACCAATAATACTATGTTTAAAGAAAAATTCTTAAAATGGGAAGGGGTGACTTTTTTTTAATTTTTGGCCCAATAAAGTACCTTTCAGGTATAATTTCTGATCTATAAAGTAACTTCTCAGTTATCGCATCGAAGCTAAAAATGTGTGACTTTGAAATACCATAATACATATTTTGAGGTAAATACAAAAATTATACCAAGATACTAACTGTGATTTAGAATCAAAACTATTGATATTTATTGAATGTGTTAAAGTTTAAGTGTTCTATAATACATTTTTAACCAAGCTATTTTTTCCAATGAGGGGGAACTGTTTTTCACATGACTTCGCCTTAACCAGGCTATTACACATCTTAATAACATTAGTAATTTTTCCAGGTAAGCTGACGGTACTTCATCGTGCGTGGTGTTATTTTAAGGAGCCTATCAATAGTTACAATATGTTTATAATGTATATTGATTAATATTATCTGAAGCTGGTTTCAGTAGTATATATTGTGTACTTGTTCAATTTTGCTTACATACCTACAGGTTTTATACTATAAATCACATACGAATAAGCATTAGACGGGATGAATAAAGATGTATATCATATTATGATTTTTGAAATGAGCGGATTGAGCTTACCAGCATTTAAACACATTTTAATTTTAAGCCAAAAATCAACTATGCTTTTTTGAATTTATTTACCATTCCTCACACTAACTGCTAAATAAACAGTACCCAGCTGTTGACTAATATTTAGAGTCTTTTTAAAAATATTCTGTTGTTCTTTGGCCTAAAAAAATAGTGAGTTATTTGTATTCATATAGTCTGTGATTATATCTTCTCGAAAACAAAATAACCATTTTTTAATTTTAATAGTTTACTGAAAACAAAACACCAAATGAAGAAAAAAAAACAGTACAGTGGGGTCGGGGCATAGTGGGGACGGGGAGGTCACAGGTTTAGAGGAATTTTTAAATCTGAAAGTGATAAAATCACTTTCGAAAAAACGCTTCGATGCAAATCGGTAGTTAGTATTTTCAAGCCAGCACAGTCCAGACCAAGTACAGTATAAACCAGCAAAGTTAGAAAGTATTAAATTGAGGTTCTGTATTTACAAATGAGCATCAAAGCGTTAATTTGAAAGTGATTTTATACAAGGGGACTAGTACAGTAGAGTATAGGTATAATGGAATCAAAGCAACGAGGGGACGGAGAGGTCACAGGTCTAGAGGAATTATTATAAAAAAAGTGATAAAATTGAATATGCTCTTTAGTCTATTTTTTTACAACGCAATATTTGTAAAACTGTTTAAATATGTACACAAATTTTGTACAACAATATTTTGCATTTAATTTGCAATGTACACTGTTCAGTAACGTTTGAACTTACTTGGAATTAATTATACCGTTGAGATTTACATGATCTCTTGTCGTGGTTTCCACAGCCTTCTGTGGAATATTTTGCTTAGATCTTTCAACAAAATCAAGCGTATTTCCAATAAAATTGATTTATTGTTATCAAACGATTTTTATATAGCATCGATTTTTTTCATACGGATCTCTAAAATCTGTTTGTTGCGCAAGTAATCTAAAAACAAACAATTTACTCTACAGTTATAAAAAGTACCAGTTTGTGGTTTTCTTTTAATGACGTTTGGTTAATGGCTAACCAGTATGCGTGGATATTTAAGCCCAAAGTTAGTTTTTGAGAGTCTTGATATGTTTTTGACAAATCTCGATACTGTTGGTAGGATTCTAGGTAATGTTCTAGTTGTAATATTGTGTCGTTGGTATTTTTTCTTTGTGAAACCAGCTTTTGAATCATAATTTTCACTTATTTTTACACCTGTAGTGTTTAACCAATATTCAAGTACAGTCGTAGCTTCAGGCCGTATTTAGGAATTTGTCACCCCGGGGCAACAAAAAAAAAAAAAGCCTTATTATAATATAATACAAATTTAATGCAATATAAAAAAATTTAGCCGCCCGGGGCAACAGCCCCCCGTTGTCCTCTCCTAAATACGGCCCTGCGTAGCTTCGTCGTTAAGCTATCTTGTCTGTAGAGATTTTATGTGTGCTATAAACTTTTTTCATTTTCGTATTTGGACGTACATGGGATTATATTTAATTTGAAAAACTAGTTAAATGTATACGGTTCTTTTTTAGTTTCATAAGATATCCTCTTTAATTTCGACTTCCGACTGAAAAAAACTTGTACGATGTTACTGTGGCATCAAATTGTAGTTGAGGTAAATATTGATTGTGTATTGATCATTTTGTGAAATTGTCGATATCTAACAGTTGATACTCAGAAGTCAGAACTCAGATACGTCAGTTTAATTTTCAGTATAATGAAAGAGTACGTTAACTGGAAGATAGTGGCTGGAGGAGCGGCGGTGTTGGGCGCCGGCGCAGTAGGCCGGTGGTGTTACCGCCGATGGTGATAGGCGATGTAGATAGACCTACGGTGTCATTTTTCATAACTATTAATACTATCCATAATCATAATAAATAAAAAAAATTTTGGCTGGACCACCGTTATCACTCAGGGGTATGAAAAATAGTTCTATTCTCAGACCTACTGAATATACACTCAAAATTTCATAAGAATCGGTCAAGCCGTTTCGGAGGAGTTTTGTTACAAACACTGTGACAAGAGAATTTTATATATTTATATAGATTATTACTAATGCCGCCATGTCATTAAGCTTAACTCTGGCAGCGTGGTTTCTGTAATTGCCCCGTACCTCGGCCGCCCTGAGTAAACCAGATAATGACCCAAAGAATAATTATAGACCGATATCATTATTATCAGCGGTGTATAAATTGTCTGATAGAGTACTGTTAACAAGAGTTCAAAAACAAACCGAAGGGAATAAAATCAGAGGCGGGTTTCCTCGACCTAACAAAAACTTAGAGGCTCAGGGAGTTAATATACAATGAGAAGACGCCCCGAAATACTTGGGATTAAAGTTAGACAGGACTTTGACCTTCAAACAACATTTAGAAGGAGTAAAAAACAAGAAACAATATTATCAGTAAGCTAGCCTGAACAAGCTGGGAGTGTAGGGCAAATGTCCTTCGCACTATTTGGTCTATCGACAGCACAACAGATAATCCGGAGGATTTTTGAAAGAAAATTTGGAGAGATGAAAACGTGGTTAATAGCCTCCTCGTCAACGATCCGACTCAGAGAGGCCCAGGATTTCAACTCGTTTGGTTGACCGCTCTAAACCGGATCAGAACAGAACAGGGGAAATGTAATTTCCTTTATAATAATTGGAAGATGGTAGATACACCACTGTGCAAGTGTAGACAGGTACAAACCACCAAACACGTTGCAGAGGTATGCCCCCTAACAGTGAGGCACAAGATTGGCTAAGTAGTCTGGAAATTCACCTTTAGAGCTAGATACGTGTGTTGCAGGCACTTTTTTCTGTTTCTATTTATTTATATATCTATTTTATAGTTTATAATTTTATACGTGTTAATTTCAGTTATTTATCTTTTTGAGTTTTTTTAGTAATTAAGATTTGATTTGATTTGATGATGATTTATTTGTTATTTCCAAACAGAATATACATAATTTACAATACATAAAGGAAAAAGTTTGTCTCCAAAAGCCCGATGCTTGTGGAGGAGACAAGAGTTCATATCTTATGTTTGGAATATATTTAGGGTTTTAAAGAGTGTTGAGTGAAATATAAATAATTTGAGTAATCGATTTTACTTTGACTATTGCATTGTGTACGAAGTGAGGAAAATTTAAGATATTCATTATGATTGTTCGATTTTTTTATAGAGTGCTTGTGCAATATTTTTGTTTAAATTAAAATTAGCTGAATTTTTGTGTGAAAAAGCTAGTCTTTCCATTTGGCACTGGACTTTGTCTCGGTTTACTGGGTGGCCTTTGGTACAAGTCACAAGGCATCTAAGCGAGAAATATGTTTAGGTTGAGTTCGGAGTCCCAGGTGATTAAAAATGTCTTGAATCGATGTATTATCATCGGAAGGGTTGGTAATAGATTCGGGTAGATTAAATAGTAAAACATTTTTCAATCTGGATTGTCGATCCATAATTTCTGCACTAACCATTAATTACCGCCTTGGTTTGATCTAATGATTTTTAATCTGTTTCAATGTCAGCAACACTTACCTTCGAAGACTCGTTTGATAACTTAACTGGGAATTAACCAAACACCGACACCGTTTATCATAACGAAAAAATCAGCTGATTTGTCTGATAAGAGAGATATAAGATAAATCAAGGAGATAGGGAGTAAGAGATGAGGGTTGGGGTTGCGGGTGGGAATGAAGGCGAGGCATATATGTTGTATTCACAACGTTTAAAATA